CAGCTCCTGACTCAGCCTCTTCCCCTCTGAAGGCCTTCCTCTTGACTGAGCACCTCCCTGGGTTTTTATACCCATGCGCCCCTGGGAGCATGCCCGGCAGTGGGGGAGGGGTCTTCTCAGCTAACTGGGCCCAGGCAACCCCTTGTCCTGCGGTTGCAGGGTAGGTATGCTCCATCACAAGCTCTAACACACTAACGCTTCAGCTCCTGACTCAGCCTCTTCCCCTCTGAAGGCCTTCCTCTTGACTGAGCACCTCCCTGGGTTTTTATACCCATGCGCCCCTGGGAGCATGCCCGGCAGTGGGGGAGGGGTCTTCTCAGCTAACTGGGCCCAGGCAACCCCTTGTCCTGCGGTTGCAGGGTAGGTATGCTCCATCACAAGCTCTAACACACTAACGCTTATTGCACCTTACCCTAAAACTGTTCTTATTTCTGGACAAAAACCTCAAGCCAGGGAAGGTATTTTTCTCCCTGAAATCCCCAGCTAAAATCTTGGGTGTGTCATGCCAGCCAAAGGCAAAGGGACAGATAGCTTCCCATTGTTTTATAGAATCCATTGTGGGTGGGAAACTGTTCTCTCTCCCACATTCCTTGGAAAATTACCTGGTCAGACTCTAAAGGTGTGTCTACGCTGCTCCCGGAGCTCAAAATAAGCTACCCAATTTGAGCTATGTAAATCAAATAGCTTATTTTGAGTTAATTTTGAAATAGCTTATTTAATTTCAAAATAGAGTGCTGTTCCGAAATGTCCCTTACTCCTCATGGAATGACGTTTACAGGGACATCAGAATAGAGAGCACATTATATTTCAAAATAACGGGCTTGCTCAAAAGATGCAGAATAGCTATTTTGGAATACTTCCGGTATCCCAAAATAGCTCTGCAGTATAGATGTAGCCTAACAATTGGGGTGGTCACATGTCTTCCTAAGACCAACCACTGCTTAGACTTAAAGTACAAAGAAGGCTGTTCTCAAGTTGTTAAGTAGATCACCTAACCCAGGAGTGGCCAACCCACGGCTTGTGAGCCAAAAATTGTGGCTTCTGACGGTACCAGGACAGAACTGGGAACCGCTCAGGTTAGCTGTTCTCACAGCTGGGCTGCTATGAGCCACATGCATGCTCACAGCTCGTGCCGTTCTGCTCATGGCCCCCGGAGCACTACGTCATATCCTGCACGTGCAGGCCGGATCGCACACAGTGTCCCAGCCTGCACGTGCTAGCAGCTGGCTGCTGAGCGCAGGCAGCGGCATTGGTTCCGGATGCTGCAGCAGCAGAGGCACCATCAGCAGTGGCTCTGGGACCCGGGCATAAGGTTAGTGAGGGAGGGGGCTTGGGTTAGAGCAGGGAGGGGAGGTGTCTGGCTCTCAGGAAGGCGAGAGAAAGGGGTTTGGGGAGGGAGTGCGCACCAGCCGCTTAGCACGCCAGCCGCTCAGCGCATGTGCCCCAGCACCTGGAGGGAGACGCACGGCTGTAGCAGCGGTGATGGCTGCGGGACCCAAGAATTAGGTTAGAACAGGGTGGGGGAGGTGCCTGGCTCTAGTCTGGGGAAGGGGAGGGGAGGGGAAGGAAAGAAAGGGGAATGGGGTTGGGAGGGGGGTGCACATTGTGTCCCAGCCACCACATCTCAAAAATGAAGCCTGGCCAACAAGCCCCCATCTGGCTGTAGCATCATAACACTTGTGCATCCCCTCTTCCCCCCCCAGACTGCAAACCTGAGTCTATCATACACTGGAACCACCTGTCCTGAGCCTCTCACATCCCCAAACTCCTGCATCCCCACATCCCCAGTCTTCTGCCACAACATTCCTGCACCATCCACACACTGCAAATCTGTGTCCTGAGCCCATCATACTCCCAGACTCCCTGCCCTAAGCCCCTCATGCATCCCAGCCCAAACTCCTGCACCCTCACAACCAACCTGCGGCTTGCTCAGCACCCCAACCCTCCCCCTGACCCCAACACTCTCCAGCTTGGAGCCCCCACCCTGAGCCACCCCTTCCTGGTGCTTTTTTTGTGAGCCACAATAGTGGTGGAGACAGCGTGAAGAGCCGGGGAAAAGTTGTTGAGCCAAAAAAAGGGCAGGGCCACAAAGACACGGGGAAAAGTTGTCAACAACAACAACAACAAAAAAGCCGTGCCCTGGGACGGATGTTCCAGCATCTATTTTCCTCCAGCGCTGCACTTTCTTTTTTTTTTTTTCGCTCAACATCTGTGCCCCGGCTCTTCACTGCTATTGTGGCTCTTCTTCTGGAACGGGTTGGCCACCCCTGACCTAGCCATTAAAGGTATCCCAGCATTGGAAACACCCTTGATGGCTTTCATTTGCACATTTAAAACCCAGCGGCTGGAGGGAGATGCGTGTGGCTGTAGTGGCAGCTCCGCCACCGGGACCCAATAATTAGGTTAGAGCAGGGCGGTGGGGAGGGGGATTGATAGAGAGGGGGGCCAGTGCCTGGCTCTGGGAGACGTGATTGGGGTTGGGGGGGTGTACCTGGCTCTGGGGAAGGGGAGGGAGATTGGAATATTCCATATCCCATATTACTAACTGTACATACAAGAGTGATGCATGCACCAAAATAAGATCTACACATCCAGCAGATTGAGACACTAAAATTGATGGGTTACATGAGATATTTTGTCCAAAGTGTCTTCAAGTTATTCATATTTATGCTCATAAATCAATTTCATACAGCATTTGGGGGGGAGGGGAACCCACCAGGGTCAAGTTATTCATATTTATGTTCATAAATCAATTTCATACAGCATTTGGGGGGGGAACCCACCAGGGTCCCCTCTTAGTCTTCTCTTTTCTGGAATAAACAAGCCCATCTTTTCACTCTTCCTTCATAGGTCATAGTTTCCAGACCTTTAATAATTTTTGTTGCTCTTCCTGAGACAATCTCCAGTTTGTTCACATCTTTCCTGAAATGTGGCACCCAGAGCTGGACACAATACTCCAGCTGAGGCTTACTCAGTGTGGAGTAGAGCAGAATTACTTCTCGTGACTTGCTTACCACGCTCCTGCTAAAGCATTCCAGAATGATGGTTGCTTGTTTTGCAACAGGGTTACACATATTTAGCTTGTTGTCCACTCTTACTCCCAGGCTATGTCTCCACTGAAAGCTTATTTCAAAATAACAGAGTGCGCATGTCTACACAGCAAGCCTGTTTATTCCGAAATAATTTCAAAATAATGGGGTTTTTATTGTGACTTCTGTAACCGTCATTTCACAGGGAGTAAGGAAAGTCGAAAGAAGAGTGTTCTTCCTCTTCGACTTCCTGCTGGGTAGACAGTGCCAAAAGCCGAGTTAAGGTACTTCAAATTCAGCTACGCAATTAACATAGCTGAAGTTGCATATCTTAACTGGATGTTAGCCCACAGTGTAGATGTACTCCCAGATACCTCTCTACAGCACTCCTTCCTAGGCAGTCCTTTCCTGTTTTATGTAAGTGCAACTGATTGTTCTTTTTGAAGTGGAGAACTGGAGCAGTGCATAGCACAGAGACACTGACCGCTCTCACCCGATCACAGGAATGTACTTGCCGGCAGCTGTGTGGAAATAAGCAGCCAAAACCTGCTGTAACCTCGATGCACTGGTGGTGGTGGTAGTAGGGCTCCCCGGGCGTTTCAAATTGCCCGAGGGCGGAAGTTGGGGCCAGGGGATGCATGAGTGGAGCACCCGGGTGGCAGGAGAGGCTGAGGGATGGATAAAGCACATCTGCTGCTTCCTCCCATCCACAAGGCTTGTTACCCTGTCAAAGAATTACAGAGAAGGAGTGCGGAATTGACATTCATCTGCAAATTTGACACTGTTTCCCTGGGCTTGAACAAAGACATTAACTGGATGTCACATTACAATGCCAGCCTTCCCTGCATTTAACGCATCAAAAGCTAAGTATGGGACACTTTCAGCCACTTAATTAGCCTCGTTAGCTCTGGTCCTACAATTGACAGGTACCTTTCTCCCTCCCCTTCTTTTTCTTTTATAAATTCTGGGTTCCTGTTATCCCTCTCCAGCTCATCTGATGAAGTGAGTTGTGCCCATGAAAGCTTATTTTACTACATATTGTTTTGTTAGTCTCTGTGGTGCCACAGGACTACTCATTGACAAATCTCTGTCAACTGTTACTTATCACCATATTATCCTCCAGTGCTACGTCTACATTGCGCTCAGGGAGAACGGCTCTTGCGCAAGAGGGGATTTTTGCACAAGAAGGAGCGGTGTAGACTGCTCTTTCTTGCGCAAAAGCCCTTGTGCAAAAATGGTGGCTCATTAAGTATGCAAATGAAGCACAGCAATATTCATCGCCATGCCTCATTTGCATATGTTCTTGCACAAGAGAGTGCAATGTAGACGTAGCCCAGATGTTTGCAAACTGATTGCTTAATTATTTGCTCCATTATCTTTCTGGGTACAGAAGTTAAGGTGACTGGCCTGTGATTCCCTGGATTGTCTTTACAGTAATTACTCATTTAACATGTGCCCACTTAACACATTTTTGGAATAGCACGATTTTGTTTTAGGGAACGTTTTTTCAAATAACACGACCGTCCCCAAAATAACACAAAAATAATCAAGTGGCGGGCTACTTTGTGCGGTGGTATAAGTTGGTGAAAACAGTGGTAATACGCATGAGCGGATGTATACATGTGGTCACAGTGCTCCTCCACTCACTCACACATTTATCTTTGTGTTGTAACAAACCACAGTGACTTGTGTTGCTGGATATCTAATGATGACGTTAATGACTGAGCACTAACAAAAAATTGACTTTGCCACTACACCCCTGAAATGCAGCCCCTACTTTTTCCATTACTTTTACTGGGAAAATTGATCCCGCATAGCATGTTTTCACTTAGCACGAACATTTTCAGAAATATAGTGATAAATAAGCAATTACTGTATTCATACCAAATCTCCGAAACACTTGGATTTTTAAACAAAGTACAGCCCAGAAAGATTAGTTCAGTTACACACCTTATGCATGATGGATAGATGCTGGTGCAGTGCAAACATTAATTAGCTGATAGTTTCTTAAATTACTACTACATCTTAAAGGGTTAATCCAGGGAGATCCTATAACCTGTCACGTTATATAGCCTTACTGCACAATGCCATGTGAGTTTGTAGACTTGTGTGTTTCTAGATGCCTATGAGTTATCTATTTTTTAACTTTAACACACGGACCTGGTAGTGTCTTTGTAGATGTAGGGAAGTATGCAGCTGCCTCCATTTTTCTTACTCCTTCAGTGTGATTCTAAAGCAAACTTTCTCTTCCACAGGAGACCAGACGTCCTTGTGATGACTCCATGGTTTGTGCCAATAGTTTGGGAAGGGACCTATAACCTCGAAATCCTGAATGAGCAGTTCCAACAAAGGAATATCACTGTAGGACTGACAGTGTTTGCGATCAAAAAGTGAGTATGGATTATTCACAGAATTATATGTTAGGTACCAAAAGTGAAGAATAACCACTAAAACGATGGGGAAGTTATTTTTAGAGTAGTGATAATATAACCCTTGCTCATCTCACCCTCCCAAGCAGGAATTTTATTGGAAGACTGCAGATTGACTCAAAACTCCTTTCAGTGACAGGGAAAGGACTGGGGTTTCACAATGGAGTGTAGGAAAATTTTAGGAGGATCTGGCAGCTGTGAGAAAGGGGCAGATTAAGCTGCACTAATTACTTTCCTCTTCTCCCTTGGCTCTGGGGACACAGCCTTTGACCTTAGGCTCTGCTGATATGTTATCTTCTCTCTGCACCGGAGTGGGGAACCTCAGGCCCGGGGGCCAGATGCAGCCCCCAGCTTGCTTGGATCCAGCCCCTGAGGCTCGTGGTCTCCCCCGCCCCAGCATTGGGGAGTCTGTGTTGGCACTCCAGCCCCTCCCCACCTCGCTGCCCCACTGCAGGGTTGGAGCACTCAAAATCTACTAGGTTGGCGCCCCCCCCCCAGGCTCTGGTGTACAAGGAAGTATGTGGGGAATGTCTTTTTCCTTTTCAGTTGGGGCCACATCAGTGAGGGTTTGGTTTTGGTTTTTGCCTCTCACTTGTGTGTGGCCCCCCTGTTGATTTTTCTAAGGGTCAGCAGCCCTCAACCCAAAAAGGGTTCCCCACTCCTGCTCTTAGCCCCACTCCTCCTGCCCAAGGTGTGTTTTTCATGGCCATGAATTTAGTAGGGCTTTAGGAATGGAGCACTGGTTCAGCCAGCATTTATCAAGCTCTGTTGCCGGCCAACTTCTGCCACTCCCTCAGCTTTTTCTAAGTATTTAGAGATTAACAGAAAAGTTTTGATCTTAACAATATAATGCAATGGACTCCAGATCAAAGGATGGTAAAATATCATGATTATTTTTCCATTATCATCCTGTTAAGCATGGACAAGTATGTTTTTGTACCTGTGCTGTAGTGGAAGTATTTTGCAATTTCAACAACAGTAGGCTTTATTTCTGGAACACTGAAGTCTTTGGCCAGGAGGTGCATCAAATCAGCAATGCAACCGTGTGTTGTTAGACTGGGACTCTCTTCACTCTCTTCTAAATTTCTACTCATCTTGGATACATTTGCAGCATTGTCTATGACCAAGCTGCGTACTAGACATTTGAATTTTTTTCACAGTTTGTTATAGCTTTTACTGCTACTTCTTGTAAGTATTCTGCTGCGTGTGCATTTCCTGATCTATCAATTGTTTCTGAAAGGAAGGCATTCCTTTCTTCTATTTTCACACAAGCACATACAACAGGATGATTATGGACATTGCACCACTCATCAAGACTCAGGATAACAATTTTACTCCCTAGATTTTTGCACACTGCTCAGTTTCTCTTTCATACACTTTATCCGGAAATGTACATGCAACATCTGCTCTGATGGGTGGAATGTATCCCGCTCTTAATGACTGAACCATGTTAAAGAAGTATGGGTTCTCAATGATAGAGAAAGGAGAGTTTGTTGTACCTCTTCACGTAATCTGCTGGTTCTTATCACAAATTTATCTATGCTTGTTTCTAGATGATGGAGAATGTTTCTTGGTTTTGCCACAGGTGATGTATTGTGGCTTTGTGACATACATGATGTGACTGAAAATTTATCTTTGGCAGATAACTCTGAAACTATAAAAATAATAGTGATCTTGAAGGTGGATAGTCTTCAGAATCCTGTATGAGGAGGATGGATTCTTCTAATCAAAAAGAGGCAATGCAGTTATTTCATTATTATTACCATATGGCTCATTTAGTATTACCCATTGCATTCACAAACACTCAGTACTATTTTAAAGGTGAAATAGTAAAACGAAGCTCTGCATATTTCAGCTATTTATTTTTTTTATCTCAGTTGCATCAAAAATGATAGTGCCATAGACTAACAACTATATTTGTTGCTCAAATATGAGAATTCAAGAATAGTCCAGAAAGACACGCTTAAGAGAAAAGTATGAAGTAAAACCTGAAGATCCTGCATGTTCAGACATGTTCCTTCATCATCTTCAACACAACTTCCTCCTAAGAGGGAACACTTCTCATGATGCTGTTTCATTCAGGCAACCTGGCCTCGCATTTCTGAGTTGCACTGCATGCATTTTGCACGCATGCCTGTCTTATCCACAGGTAATAGGGATGTAAAATATTGATTATTTGGCTAATCAAATAGTCAATGGAATTTGCAACAATTATTTGATTAGTCGATATGGGCGCTTCCGCCTTTGAAGTGTAGCATCAGCTCCACTTTTAGACAGAGGTCATTTTGTACACAAATTTGCAGGGGGACAATAAGGTTGACGTCAGTTACTTTTCATCTCTGTACATTGTTTATTTGTTTATTTAAAAACATTTTTGCTATTAACAAGCATGCTGTCTCTGGAGACTCAAATCCACCATTTGAGAATTGCAAAACTAAGCATCTCTGATGGTATCTTCTAAAGCTGTGGTCCCCAACACGGTGCCCGCAGGTACCATGGCGCCCGCAGGGGCATTTGCATGCACCCGCCAGGTGCTCGGGGCTGGCCTCGCCCCGGGCACATGGCGCGGCGCTTGCGGGGAGCATCGGCCCCGGGCACGCGGCGCTTGCGGGGAGGGGAGGAGGAGGGTGGGAAGCACCGGCCAATCTAGATGCCCTTTTCCGCAAATGCTTTTAACAGAAAACTTTTCCGTTAAAAGCATTTGCGGAAAATCATGCCAGTCTAG